AAAACAGACTGAAACTGATCCGCGAGTTAAAGAATTATCGAGACAGGACTAAGACAAACAGACAGCAGGATCCTTCGCAAACTGGTGCAGAAAGCTGTTTTAACAGACCCATGCAAACGGTGCTTCAATTCGATAGGAAAAGTCAACAGCCTGAACACACAGTGGAGAAACAACTTGCTAGACAGCAAACCTGCAGGAGAGGAGCCTGCCAATTGCAAGTCAAGCACAAACAGTGGCACGCTGTCACACGCACACAGAAAAATCAAACATCCTACTGGGATAAGTAAACGGGACGTAATCCACAAGGCAGGGGGGAAACCTCTGCAGAGCGCCCCACGTGAGGCTCTGAGCACTCACACCGCAGGAGGGACAGCTGGGGTCAGGGCAGCAAAGGGAAAACCTGCACGAGATCCAGAAAACATAACCCGCAGGGAAAGGCTGAGCAAGCTGGGGCCAACCAGTACAGACAGAGGAGGTGGCTGAACAGGGAAACGGGAGCAGTAAGTCTTCAAACTTACGCAAAAAGTGCTTTTTCAAGGAGAAAGGGACTGAAGCACCTTCCAGTTCCTTGTGATACAGGGCAGACAGCTTTTTCTAGTTGCAAGGAAAGTGAAGGACTTGAACAGATCATCCAGGAGGGGCTGTGGTGTCTCCAACGCTCCCTCTGATCAAAGGAAGCAGGTCCATAAACGTCTGCCATGATACCCATACAGCTGCTTTTGTCTGAGGATGGTGCTTTGAGTGTCACCCTGACACCTGACCTAACTCGCTGGGGCCATGGCTCACTTCACAGAGGTAGGGGTTGAGTACCTTTCCTCTAATGCATCAGCCAGCCAGCCTTCAGGTAGCACAGCTTTTCAGCCTTGAAAAGGTGAGTCTGAGCTGGATCCCAGGGCATACAGCGGCTGTCCCACAAGCACACACATGGCTTTGCCAGGAGGAACAGACCCCTTAGTGTCTTACTGGCAAATTTCTGGGGCACAGTCTGCATATGACTCAGTGGCAGCGAGGAGGACGACTCAGGTGGTTTTGCAGCTAGTGTAAGGGGTACATGCTCAGGAAGGTCCCTCCCCAAGACGGAAGGTGCAGGGTTTCATTGTCCGTCCACCATGCAGACCAGTAAGACCTCATCTATACGCAGGTGAGAGCCCTAGGGATTTACATATTCTCACCATAGTGCCCTAAGGCACAGCTGGGAGTCTGCCAGGAAGTCTCTCCAGGCAATGGGGAGCTTGGCACCAGCTCTGCAGCAGCTCAGCTCAAGAAGTACTCCAAATTTACTACTACATTACACACATAACCTTTTACAGATATAGGCTGCTCCTGTGCTGTAAGCTGCTGGTGGCTGATCCCGCTTGCATCCCATGGTGCAACCTGGAGGTGTCTAACACCAGGTTGCAGCTGTGCAGCTTACTGACCCACAGACAGCCCATGCATGTGGGGCTGAATGCTGTCTTCTACAGCAGTCCCAGCAAAGGAAGGAACTGGAAAGTCTTTGTACAGTCATCTCCAAGATGTCTTGGTGTCTGCTTCTTCCTTCTGGGATCCAAGAATCCATGCAGGTCTCTTATTGGGTCAACAGGATTCTTTTTTTATGGATGGCTGTGGTGCTCCTGCTATGGACTTTCTTCAGTCCCAGCCAGCCTTGCTCAGTCCTCACCTTCCTGTGACAGGTTTTGTGATGAAGACCCATTTCCTTTTGAAGAAGGTGCTCTTTGGGCACAGGTGCTCTCAGAACGAGGGGACAGTGTCCAAGAGCTTCCCCAGCAAGGGATGGGCAAAGGCAAGTGCAATGCCTTAAATGGGACACCAACACTCCATTTCAGGCTCTGCCCCTGGGTTTTTGCCTGTGCACCACATAGATTTTGTCAAGTCACCCAAAATAAGCAGCAATTTGATACTTTTGTGTCACAGTGCAAAAAGAGCTGGTTTTTCCCTTATACCTGTAAGAGAATAACACCACTTCCATCCACACTGGGAGACACATACAGCAAGGGCCTCAAACATACTGCAATGAACAGAGTGTGAAATAGGTGGGTACCTAACCTATGAGACAGGAACACCTGTTATGAAAACTGTATTTGCTTAGTGATTCAAAGCTGCTTCGTTCCATTGAAAGTAAACACGCGATTTCAAAGATTCATTGCAAGAACTACTGCAAAACAATAAAAAGCCCCTCTGCAAGTACTCAGTCCTCCTCAGCTGTCCAGCTCTGCTCCTTCAAGTTACATCTGCCATTATAGACCAGCTAGGTTTTCTTGACCTCTCCAGCCCCTTGCAGTTCCATCACCTGGTCTCCTGTGCCCTTTTTGCTTTTTCTGAATTTGAAGTACCAGCAGAAGCCAGCAAGGGCCAGGAGAAGTATCAGAATCAGTGGTAAGTATAGGATGAAGTTCAGCAGTGGTGGGGATGAGCAGATCCTAGAAAAAACAGTTGACTCTGGAGGGAAAAAGAAAGGAGGGGAGGGGAAAAAAACAAGTGAGGCCTCAAGCTAGTTTGAGCTTCTCTCTTCTACTGTTTCTATAGGTTATCTTCTTATAACTTTTCCTTCAATCTTCAACACCTACCAATTTTTAAGAATTCATACTGGCTACCTGAGGAGAAGGGGGAGAGAAACCAGGCAATTTACCTCAATTTCTTGTTTTGGGAGGTCAGATAGGGTCCTGGCTCCTTCAGCTGAAGCATCCCAACATAGACAGCACGGCTCTTCAGCTAACCCATTCCAGGCTGGGCTCAGTAAGGAGAAGCCAGGTACCCTTCACCCCCTGGGTCCCTGCCTGACACCAGTGACAGCAGGGTGAGGCAGAGGTCTGCCAGAGGCTTCACAACAGAACAAGGAGGGACAAGAGGAAAGCAAAGGAAACCAGATCAAGGAGGTCCCTGTCTCCCCAGACGCCTGCCCCTCCTTGCATCTGCCACTCTGCTATCCTATTTCAGCCACACAGAGCTGCAGGCAGCTGCGAGCCCCATCCCTGGCAGCTCCTGCAGAACAGCTCCCCACTTGAGGTGGAGGCTGCCTGTACTGCTGGTGGACCCTCTGGGCACTGCGAAAGACTGGGTTTGGTCAGCCCCATGCTAGCTGAAAAGCTCTCATTTGCAGCCTCTCCATTTTTGTCCCGGGCTCCTTACAGCCACCAACTAATCCTGGCCATCAAAATCTCCTCACTTGACACACAGCTTCAACACCACAAACTGACCTCAGATGTACCTGGCCTACCATGAAGGGTCATGCCAATTCCTTTAAGGTCTGTTTTATCCATCTCAAAGTGTTGTTCCTCAATTCTCCTCCTCACCCAACACCCATGTGCAGATGCTTTCCACTTGCTCTGCAGAACTGTACTGAGCATAGGGGTCTGCTGATTTGAAGCTGTCCACAGGGGTGGGCTAGGTGTGACCCTAGGGATGAACGAACCTGGGGGCTACTGCTGGCTGTGAAACCGGCTTTTACCTCTCTACCTCTGAAGCTTTGTGCCCCATCCACACAGATGGAAGCAGCATTTACTCTCCCATAGGAAAACAAGGCAAAACAACACCACATGAATGCCTCTCTAGTACTAGGGAGGTATCCGAAAGGGTAGCATCAGGGATTAGAGATGAAGTTACTGCTGGTTACAGGTATACTTGCACATGGCTGTGTCCTTACCCCTTGGAAAACTCTGAAACATTGAAATCTGTGAGCCAGAGGGACATTTTGAGATACCTGCATCACTGGAGAAACACACATGGGGGGAGTGCAGAAGAGAACACCCAGCTAATCTCTTGGATTTTGTGAAAGACATGAAAACTACTTGGCCAAAACACTTATACAAAAATTGGAGAAGAATTTTCCAGCAGTTACTGAGCAATTTTAGCAATGGTTACTCCACCACTACCAGGTAACAAGAGACAGAGGGAGCTGATGAAGGAGAAATCTGAGTGCTACAGGGAGCTGTGATGGACAACAGCAGGAACATAACAGCAGGGGAATGAAGCGCTGTCAGTCCTTCCCCATGTAATTAAATCCAGATTAGCTCTGCTGTAGCTCAGACTCATGTGAGTAGGCTCTGTGCGTGCCTGTGCCAGTGGCAGGCACAAGGGAGGGCTCTACAGGGTCTCCCTGCGCTCTTCCATGATGGTCAGCATTGGTAATTGCTGCAGAAGTTATAACACGTGTGGGCACCCAGGCTGGCTTCAGGCATGGCAACTCCAGGGCCAAAGGCACGAGAAGAACTGCAGAATCCTCTCAGCTGGGTGCGACATGGCTGATTTCACAGTTCATATTTTTTCCTCCACATGGGTCATCCAAGCCTCCCATTTCCCCAAAGAGGCAACAAGAGAGTACTTTTTACCTCCCGAAAAATACTGTGTGTGCCTAACTGAAATCTTTGGTTTTATTTATTTGAAATTCTGTATGCAGAATCCAGCTCTATTTTTGCATCTGGCATGCACCCCAACTCACCCCAAGAGGACAGAGGCTGTTTTTAAGAGACCTCACTGGAGATGGACTTGCCAGAAAAATCACACCAAGAATTTTTTCCCCAAAATAGTGCTCTGGACGACTGAGAGCAGGGGTTTGTGCCCATGGTCCTGCAGAGAGCCCACAAGCCCACAAAGCACTGCAGACACAAGTGGACTCAATGGTACCCTCTGGACCATGTGCCCTGCAGTTGGAGCTCTTGGTGTCTAATCTGACCACCACCTCCAATGTTTACAATGCCAAGCACCTGGGTTTCAGCCCTGGCAGATCAGGAACAGTATCTTATTGCCTTCCCCTGCCAGGCCCATAGCACGTGTCCCTTGAAGGGCTCCCCTCCCTCCCCTGGCTCCCAACACAACTCTGGTGACCTCCCCAGCACTGACCCCCACTGCGATCCCTGAGCAAGTCCTCCCAGTCCCTCTGCATCCTTGCCATCGCAGCCGGCATCGCCAACAGAGAACTGCCATTACCCCCTCACACACCCCAGCACGGCTAAGGGGGAACTGGTACGGGGTGAGCAGCCCCTCACGCCCAGCAGCATTACCTGGTGGGATGGTGGTGAGCCGAGTGTACCCCGAGTGCGCAAAGGCTTGCGGAGCCCAGTCCTTCCCCTCGCTCTCCTGCTGCCACTTCTGCCCCTGGCAGTGATACACCACGGCATCGCCCTTCTCCGTGCTGCGCAGCGTCAGGCTGAAGTCACCGGCAGGGGGGCGGAGGAGGTGCAGCATCCCCGCCAGGCTCTCCTGGGGGTACTCGATGGCACCGTCATGGTGGAGGGTGAGCAGGGGCCTGGCACGGCCGCTCTCCTCCCCCTGAAACCCGGTGGCCGAGAGGCGGGAGGCGGGCGGGTGGGTGCCCTGCAGCAGGCACTGCAGTGTCACCTCCTCGCCCTCCCTCACCGAGATGCTGTGGTTGGTTTTCTCCAGGTGCAGTTTGCGCTCTAGGGCAGAAGGCAAGCAGAAAGAGACATTGCAGTGTTGCACTGCCATAGAAATGCTCCTGTCTGTGCCTACAGGCTGATGGAAATCTTCCAGAGCAAACCATGGGAGATTGGGATGGCCTCTTGGAAGAGCCTCTAGCAGGGCACCCACAGGCCCCCTTGCTCCCTAGGGTGACACATTCTCCCTGGGGTGTTTCCCCCTGCCCCATCATCTCTGCCCTTTGTTCACAACCCTCTGCTGTCATACTTCCCTCCCCCTCCAAATAAGCGATAAGGCATCCTTTGGACCAAAAGCTATTTAGGAAGCTGGAATTCTCTGATCCACTTTATTTAGGGCTGCAACCATTAGCCAGGTCATGCTGAGACAGAGGAAAGGACTGAGCCAGGGAGACCCACTGTGCACCCCAGCAGTGCAGCACCCAAGGTAGGAGCAGCTGAACATTCAGCCTTGTTCTCTGTGGCTATGTGCAGCAGAGTAGGGAAAACTTTGTCTCTTGCTTCAGGATGCTCAGGAGTACCAGGAAAGAACTACTTCTCTATTCACAGCACTGTACAACCAACAGAGTGCACCAAGTGTTGGAGGGAAAAGAAAATGCCACAATTCACTTTGTTATGAAGCATTAGACATCATCTGCCAGTGGCAAAAATACCAGCTGGGTTGGTTTGGGAGGCTGCAGTAAATCCTCCTAATTCCCTATTTCCCTTTGAGAGGCAGTGACACTTCCTGCACCCCTAAGTCTCAGATCCAAAGCCAGAGCTGCTGGTTCTCCTAAGCCCTGCCAGCTTAGGAGAGGTCTGGCAGGTGCCCCCATCATAAATAGGTCCAATGTCCTCCAGCAGCACCTATGTGAGAGATGACCGCTGCTCACCTGGGAGCTTGAACTCCAGCGTGGTCCTTCCTGATGCTCCCTCTCCGAGTTTGTACCAGCCATCCACCAGCCAGAGCCATTCCTCTACCACACAGTAGTACTTGCCCTGGTCCCTGGGGTTCGCAGAGAGTATCCACAGCCAGAAAACATTGCTGGACACCCTCTGGCTCAGGAACTGGGACTTTTGTGCAGGAGAGCTGAACTCAGCCCCGTATTCCAGTATGCTGCTGTAGTCGGCCCTTACGATTTTCAGAGGGGTTGCATCTGCTGGAGGAGGAGGTAGGAGGTACCAGGTAACAGCAAACTGAGAATTATTCTGGGCAAACACAATCCTGCACTCAATGGCTGTGTCAGCACCGCCGGCAATCTCCACAGAGCTCTCCTTCGTAGATACCTGAAGCTTGCTTTCTAAAACGAAGAAACAAAATAATCACGCTAGCTGCAGCTGCCAATACAGGAATGCTGGCAAGGAGAGGAATAAGCCTGGCCTGAGACACTCACCAAAAGAGGAGGGAGGAAGAGGGTGCTCAGAGGACAAAGACCCATTAGGGGATGCTGGAGTAGGAATGCTAAGGGGAGTAGGGGAAGGAGGGAAATAGCAAAACCACACACCCTTATTTAAACTGTGGCAGGGAATCACTGGGTGCTACGGGGCTGGGGAATAGCGGAGGAGGCGCCTGGGGGACCACGGGGCAGGAATGGGTGGATGGAAGCAGCTGCTGTGTTGTAGCTCAGAGGCAAAGCCTCTGTCTGAAGCAAAAAAGTCTGTCTACCACTGGTCCTATCAGCAGGCTCACACATAAGTGACAAAACCACCCCACAGCTTTGGAGACTGTGAACAAGCGTCTTTTATCTCAGAGAGACTACAGAGCCTACGTGGGTTTTGCTAGCAGTTGCCATCTCAGGCGTTTGCTGTGGTTATTAACCGGAAACCACATAGCACAGTCCTGAACATCCACTGTGATTATACCCAGCAATCATTCAATTTAGTGCTGAACAGCTCAGGAGAGGAGAGCTCCAGTGCTGCCTGCAGCTCTGCCCCCCTGGCAGGGTACACAGTCGGTCCCAGCTGATGCGCCTGTGCTGCTTCTGGTTTGAGGGACCCCCTTCCTGCCGCACATCACCCGTTGCTGACGCCTTTCCTTCTCCTCCAGCAGCAGAAAGGCTGCAAACTGGTCTCTTCAAAGGGCGTCCGACTGCCTGCGTTTCCACTCCGCCCTCCCCTCCACGCTGAGACACCACCTCTGTCAGACTGGGGCCAGCAATGAGGTGAAGGAGTACACACAGATATCTACCCATGGCTAGACAGAAATTACTCAGAACGAAACACCATCAGGGTTTCAAGGGACTGTAGGAGAGTTTCCATTCTCAGGATTTCCCTTGTGACCGAGCTGAGCAGCTGGACTCTCTGTGCCACAGAGGCTGGGGGCAACAGAGCTCCCTTAAGCTCAGCCCCTGGGTGCTGGTTTGGGGACGGGCTGCAGAGGACACGCTGAGATGTCCCCACGGAGCATCTCAGCCCCAGGCCCTCAGCTGCAGGCTCAGCAGGGTGCTGTCCTCCACAGCACCTCCCCAAGGGATGCAGCGGCAGTGGGTTAGGGAGAGAGCCTGTGGACCAGGAGAGAGCTGTGGCTTCTTTTACAGGGGCTGAGCGGGAAGAGGGACACCACAGGAGAACGGCCACACATTTCCCCTTCCTTCAAGCATTTCTTCTTGAAACTCAAGCAATCTACTTCAGAGGCCATCACTGTCTTTCTTGAGGCCAGTCACTGCAAAATATCCCAGCTGATGGCCCTTGACACCCTTGTGCATTGCCTCTGCCTACATCTCAAATTTGCCAACAAAATCTCCCAGCTCACATCCACTTAGGCTGTTTTTTCTCTTTGCACCCTATTGCACTTCCTCCTCTTCTCTCCACACTGCAGACAGACGCATTTTCACCAAAAGGTAGACAGTTTCCTCCATACTAGGACTTGCACGTCCATAAGTCCCAATATCTGCTTACTTGCCTCACCCCAGTGGTGAGGATTTTGGCACCGGGAAGTGGATGCTCCCAAGAGATCAACAAAGTGCTGTCCTGCATTTCCCAGTGCACACGCCCTGCTCTAAAGGAATGGGTAAGGGTAAGAAAGAGAAGAGACAGGAAGGCAATCACCCTAGTTAGGAAGCTGGGCAAATTCATCAGATCCACACATGCAGAGACCAAGCAGACTTGGGCATATTTAGGAACCAGAAGCAAGTTGATGTCTTCCAACTTCAGCAGTTAAAAGTGCACCCAGCCCAGAGCCAGCTCTAGGGAAGCACAGAGAGTCTCCCTCCTTGGAGGTATTCAAAAGCTGGTCCTGGGCAACCAGCTCTAGCTGGCCCCGCTTGAGCAGGGCGTCGGACCACAGGACCTCCAGAGGTCCCTTCCAACCTCAGCCATCCTGTGTTTTTGTGACAGGTGAGCTGATCACACTGGAAAAAATAAGACACTCAGTTCTTAACTTCAGCTGCTCATTACAGCAGGA